ATGCTAACTTTCGCGCTATCTGGTTTATCTTGCCTTGGAAGAATTCTAACTTGAGCTTCGGAGCCCTTACGCCGGGTTCTCCCCGGAGCTTCTCTTCTCCYTCCGTYTCAGGTCCCTGYYACYCAGTTCAGAGGCAAGATCGTTGACAGCTAAGACCGGCCAGATTGTGCATCATCATAAAGCATTGATGGAATTCTACCTATGCTATGTGAGAAAGTTGTATATTTCATAAGAAAATTCTTTCTGATTTTTACAATTTAAAAATGCCTAATGATATGATATTTGAGGAAGACTGGGAATTTATTATCCAACTAGTTATAATTTACCTTATCAATTAATGGCAAATAGTGACTGCAAAATATAGAAATAATCCACAATTTCAATGTATTGTTAAAATTATGGAAAATAAATTTTAAAAATATTGGGAGAACATTTCTCCCATTTATTGTTTAACTATAATATTAGACCCTAGGATTAGGAAAGATGGTTTAGATATTTTACTTTAATCATATTGTGAAAATATGAATATTGATATAGTAAATAAAAAGGAAGAAATTAATAATTTATTATTTGAAATGTAAATATTCCTACAACTTGTTCATCATCATCTTCCTCTTCTGACCTTGGGCCCAGTAGTATAAGAGAAAAAAATATTTAATAAGTAGAATACAAAAATCTACTAGTTATACAACAAGTTCATTTATTGAACTTAATATTTATTTACAAGCAATTTTTTCTAATTCAGGTGAATGATCAAATAATTTTGATATTTTAGCCTAGTGGAGTGAACATTCAAAAAATTATCCGGTTCTCGCCGCCATGACATGTGGTCTACTAACCCCTCCGGTGTCTATAATTCCTAGGATTTTGTTTTAGTGTGCATCTACCTCAAGGATTGGCTAGATGCAGAAGATATATTACAAGACAAGGGAGGGCATGATACTACACCGGATATTTCACCCGAAGCAGATGATGAAAGTCATGAATTTGACTACTTGTATAGAATTTTTTATTTTTTCAAATTATTGTAATTTTTTTTTAAAATTTGTTTAATTGATTTGATATATATTTTTTAATTTTTAACAATGTAATTTTGTATTTTCAATTTGTTACCATATTGTATTTTTTATATTTTATTAATTTATTTCATTTTCATATTTTCATTCATACAAGTATGCAATGATCCAATCATTGTATTTGTAATTTGTACCATTCAAATTTAAATGAAATAAATTTCCTATTTTTCTTTCAATTTGTTAATACATCATTCTTATTTCAATTTGGTTAAGTGTTTTTTTCATTTATGTGTTAGATAACTTAGATTTCTCATTTCTTAAAATTTTAAATAGTTCCCAATTCCCAAAGTTCAAAGAAAAGATATTTTAGTTTTAAAATTTTATTTAGAAAAGAAATCAAAATTTTCAAAAAAAAAAACTAGTGCAGTCCAGTTTGGCCTAGGCCCAAGGCCCGCCCTGTGGCCCAGCCCAATACAGCCCAAACCCACGGCATGACCTGCAGCCCGGCCTGAACCAGGCCCGCAGCACGGCACAGCCCGCCTTTAGCGCGGGCCACCCACGGGCTGTGCCGTACCGACCCGGCACGGCACACTTTACACATCTATACCTGCATCCAGTATCAGAAATTAAGGATCACGATTCATGAATTTACCGGGGAGAAAAAACAAAGAAAAAAAAAAAACTCACGCGGAGATTTGAAATCGCTCACGTGATAGGACTAAAGTCTAAAGAAGCTAGTATTAGAGTTGGAATAGAGAGAAAACCGGCGGAGAAAATTGTGTACGAGGCTACGAGGGAGAAGTGTCGTACCCTTGTCTGACACTGCAAGGACTCCAACTCGACCAATACAAGAGCACTGCGTCTGAGCGACACCCCTTTCCTTTCCGATCTCTTTACGGGCGGGAAGTGCTCGAATGGGAAAGCCAGACTACCCCCCATTCAATGAGCATACGAACGAGCCGTGAGCATTAAATAAGAAACCCTGAATCACAGCGACTGAGACATGGAAGAGGTCTAGAGAGAGAGAGAGAGAAAGAGGGAGAAGATATGGCTTGTAAGATGGAAACATGCAAGGAATGCATCAAAAAATGCTTGTCGCTTCATGGGAAGAGAGATTCATCACCTCTTGCTACTTCCTTTTTCAAAGTCATGGTTGGCGATAAATTCAAAGAAGTATTGGTATAATAAAACCTTTCTTTTTCCTTCCCCCCTTGACCCCTTCACACACACACACACACAAAGCCTTTATCTTATGGTCTCTCGATTTTACATTCTATTTGTTGATTTCATCTTTTTGATCTTGTTCAAGAATGAGATTGTTGGAACTTTTATGAACTCAAGAGATTTTGTCTTGATTGGTCCACTGCACATGTTTACATAGATTTTTTTTTTCTTTTGTTTCCTAACCCTTTAGTTTAACAGTTTGTATCTGCAGTTCTATCTCTGTAGTTTCTGCGTCGATTTTAAGTATTTTAGTGCCCCACTCCGTAGTGATGTTAATGTTTTCTGTTTTGACGTGAGACCTCTGCCAATCCCTGTATCCTTCTGCGTGCCGTGCGTGTGTGCATGCATGTGTGGTTATATAAAGTTTGACACAAATAATTAATAAAAAGAAAAAAACCCTATATTTGAATCATGCGAAGAATTTCCCTTCTTTTGACACCGAGGCAATGTATGGTTAAAATTCTGCTCCAAAGAATCATCATTTGACGAATAAGTTTCAAGTAAAACATCTTTTTTTTTTTTAAACTAATTTCTCTAGCTATGGATAATCAATTTTTAGAATGATTTGTTGGTCCCAAAAATATTTAATTCAAGCGAATTTCACACATCCAAATTTAAAGATAAATCTTAAAATTACAAAATTAAACAGAATTAATTCTTTGAAAGCATGCCAAACGCATCCTAAATCTTTGATTTGCATAATGCATATGCTCAATTGCATTATACCAGGAAGAACCATAGGAAGCATTGGGAATGAAAAAGACGAAGAAATTTGATGAAAAATAGAATTATAATAATTGATGTGTAAAATCTTATTGTTGAAAAACATAGCTTTAAACTGATAAGAACGTGTACTTTTACCACTGCAAATTTCCTATTTATTTATCTTAAACACTCATTGTGATGCAGACATCGGGACATCTTACATTTCAATGTAGAATTGAACTTAGACATTTAGTTTGAAATGAATTAGCAATAACTAATGCAAGCAATTTAACAAACATATATCCATCCATCAAATAAAGAAAACTGTGAAGGATTATTTGTTTGTAAAAAATGAGAATTATGTCCAGTAATCTTACGTCTTTTAACTATCTTGAGCACTTCTTTGGTCAACTAGGTGAATTTTACTAGTAGACTATTCTAGCTTGTGACCGTTTGAACTGATTATAGGCGGAGTAAAAGATTTCTGTTTTGAAAGTTTAAATAGTTTGATTCACCTTTTATACACTCTCATAAGTTGAAGTAATGAAAATGAAGATGGTATCGCTAAAGTATCTAGCAGAGATATAATAATGCAGATTACCATTATTATACTTCTTTTTTTCCCTTAATTATCATTATTTTACTTTATTTTATTTAATATACTAAACATTCAATTATTAAAGTTAAAAGTATATATTCGTGAATACATTGGATAGCTAAACCACTCTTTTATTTGTTTCTCTTTTTGGTGCATTCTGAATAAACCATAAGAGATGGTCTAATATGTGCAATTTTTACATGGTTATTTATTATTTAAATCATATATTTATAGTTACTAAATATATTCTTGTTAATAAATGAATCATCATAACAATCTTAGAAAGAGATGAGTATATGATTTAATATTTATAATAGATACATCAATACTCAACTATTAACACTTTAAACAGGGTAGCAAGATTAAGCCTTCGTGTCATTTCTAATGACTTGAGCTTGGATAACTCGGTAAACTGAACCTGGGAAAGGAACYGTGAGCTTGGCTTGAGCTTGTCCCTGAGAAAGCCCCTTTCGCCCTTTCGCTTGAACTGTTCTCCTCTTAGATTTTCACCTTTCTCTTTTGCCTGAATCAAAATCATCCGGGAAGTTTAACTCCAGTATATGGACAGAAAGGAACAAGTAAATATTTTAGTGGGGAAACACTTTGGAAGACTGTATAAAGAGAAGATAGAAAGATTGATCTTTTCCTGGTATTCTATTCTAAGGAATTTTCTGGACTCAGATTAGAAACTTAGGTAGTTTTTACTCATGGCATCCTTATTAACCCATCCTTCAATCTAAGCCTTGTACATCCATGTATATGTGGTATCATACCATGTATTCTTTTGTGCATAGGCATCAGCCCTTTCTTTTTTCTATTAATGTAAATATATTATCCTTATTAATAAATGATAATTATAAGCATGCTATATATGATAATATCAATAAATAATCTTTTTTTTTCCACTTATTTCTGTTAGTAATCCACAATAATATCTATATTGCTAAAACATAATTAAGGTATAATAATTCATTTGGACAGTAAATACTAATTAGTTACAGGGGAGAAAGAGAGAATGAATGAAAATTGTGTAAGTATTAAATTGTGACTTAAAAATGGTTTTAATGTTTTTTTTTGATGAATGATAATAAATTTATTAATTCAGAAGCAGATTTAGAGTGAGTTCATAAAATGGTTTTAATGTTCTACACAAGTTTTTCGACATCATCAATAGAGATTAACAGTTCATTATGGGAGGTTAAAAAAACAACAAAGAAATAAATTTGTCTTTATTCTTGTAATTCTTTGCCAAAAGAATATCAACCAAGTAAAAGCAAATAATGTAAATTTTCTATGTAACTGCATTGGTATGCAATTCAGGTTTAGGTTCATAAAAGGTGTCTTCTATCTTCTGGAATGTAGAACATTCAGAATTTTTTCTACTTGACCAAATTCAGAAACACCATATAGTTCATGTCTAGTGAAAAATGTTGTTGGCAAAAATTATAGATTTTTGATGTTTAAGGAATATTAAGAGTGACTATAAGATCTAATTGATTCTATTCTCAAATAATGTTATAAACTATCTCGTCAGTATCGTGGGCCATTGGATAATGATGAGAATTTAACAACGGATATGGCAATAAGCAGAGTGGACTGGTGAAACATGATTCATGTAGCTGACCCCATATTGTTGGGATGAGGCTTGGATGATGATGTTGATGATGATATGATAGCGCAAGTTCATTGATTAGGAATAGGTGTGTTTTGAGAGGTGGACTCTTAGGTTGTGATTAGCTGGCTTCTAGATGGTGCTGTGGATTATGGACCTTCCTTCAGATATTTTATGAGGGAAGCTAAAGCAAAGGCTTGCAAAGTTAACATCTCATTCAGATGGATTTTAATGTTATTTAACTCTGGCTGATGGAGTGGTTGGGAGCTGTCAGTTATGGTATAGGCATTTACTCTTGCACATTGTGTTTTCTGCGCTGCCTCACTGCCTTGGAGCATGAGTTTGTACTCTCTCTTCAGATCTTTTGTAAAGTATTTTTTTTTCTTTTTTTTTTTAGTTAAAAAACTGTCTCATGGGTGGGTAGGAGTCCTTTTTAACTGCACTTATTCATTTTATTTCATTTTTTTGGTTTGGTTAAAATTAAGGAGTCTTTTTTTTTTATGTTTTAGAAGCGCTAGGAGTTAGGAACTATACCTATCTATCAAGCAGAGTTGGCTGGCCAGTGGTTGCTGGGGTTAATGAAATTTATTGTATTGGAGTTTCAGTAGTGAATTGTTGGATGTTCCAACATTCTTTGGGGAAAGATAATGGAACTCAGAACATCATCATTTGTTACACAATACATGTAACCTCACTTCAGTGATCAACCTTCTGGTTCAACTGTTTTGTCTTTACATGACAAAAATAAAATAGTCTGGCAAAATTTGATTAGTCCCATACCTCTTAATTTATATCCTACTTGTTTCTTCACTCATGGCTTTTCCCTATATGTATGTGACAGAAAAGTTGCTTGTGTATAGGCTTGCTAAAGCTTCTTTAATGTGATCTAGTTCCTATGTAATAGGAAGCAGTGCATGTTATGGGCCCGAGCGTAGGATCTTGTCACGGGTCGTTCCGCCGTCAGAGCCTCGGACCTTTCCTTGCCCTTGGCCTTGCGTACAGGCCCTATTTTGACTGTCGTGGGGGGTGATTTGTCCAAGAGATCACCGAACTCTCCTTACTTCCTTTCTTGACTGCAAAATTCGATACTTCATTCAGTAATAGCGTCTCCTTAAATAGGAGATTACA